GACTCCGAGAGATAGTTGCCGAGTGATCAAGCTTCATTGGAACTATCGATTAGAATCGATTAAAGGCCAAATCTATCTGCCCATTAGATTGTGGTGTTCAGACGAACTACATCAACATTACTCTACATCGTCTCAGAGTCGGCAATTTTTTTTAAAAGGTAAACGTCCATATCCTAACTATAGATTCCGCTGCGTTAGTATTTATTTCGGTAAGTTCAATACTGTGCATGTTGTTTGACGTTTCTTACAAAACCCAACATGGAGTTGGTCAAATAAGGATTATATTTTCAATAGAAGAAATTGCCTCCGTTTACTCTATAGAATGCAATTTTTATATGCAATATTATTTGTTAAATAATACGATATACAATGCATTTTTTATAAGATCACATTGGAATTTAACATTCACTTCAATCATTTATAAAAAAAATATCGGTCACTTATTATTCTAATTTCTCATGACAACAATATCGAATCCAAAGCTTACAAAAAAAAAAAAAAAAATAGAGACGTGCATTTATAAAATAAGCGATCATATTATTGTTCAGACAATTTATACCGACAAAAACCGAGAAACTCTGTATCATGCTAAAAATTGAGCATTTCCAACCAAAAAAGTATTTAAAATATCTTAAAAAAAAAACAAAAAAAACAAAAAAAAAAACGAATTAAATAGAGATCCACTAATTATACAAAAAAAATGACCAGAGAATTTTCTATAAAAAAAAACATCGCGAAACGCACATTATACCAAAATATTCGTTCATGGTATTGTTTCGTAGTTACGGTAATTTCATACAAAAATAAAAATAAAACTTGAGACCCACGCCAAAAAACAATATATTGTCATGTGCATTTCAAACATAAAGTATACCATACAATGATTAACTTTCCAACATATTTCCTAAAAAAAATAATAATAATAATAAAATAGCCATCAAATAACTTAAATAAATTTGCCTACTTTATACCATATATTAATTAATTTATTTTCCATAGAAATAGTCATCAAGTACCAAAAGTAAATTCACCCACTTTATACCATATATTAATTGATTAATTTCCCATAAAAAAGGCTATCAAATATCAAACATAAATGGGTAAAATATTTTTTCCTATCCGAACTATCACGATTTTGGCGCATCACCATATAAACTATTTTTTTTTTCACAAACCACTATATGAACTATACGGGTTTGTCAATATGCCCCCTAAACCGGATATAAAAGTGGTTTACGGGGCACATTAACAAACCCGTGATAGTTCATATGGTGGTTTGTAAAAGTATTTAGAGGGCACATACGGTGACCAAACAGCTATATGACTCACTTTATACCATATATTGATTGATTTATTTCCAGATATAGTAAATAAGATTTTTTTTGCGGGAAACAATCACTATATTAAATTGACTCACTATATATATATGGGTTGGGTTCTAGTGAGAAAGATTATTAATGAAAGAAATAAGAATACATTGTCGCCATTAGATCAAATGATCCAATGACCAAAACAATTCATCACTTATTTATTCATTAAGGGTATATTAAACATTTTAACATCTTAACATTAATTTATACCAACTAACAAATCACATCCACCCAATTAGTTTGTGCCGCGTGGAAAAAAAAAACACATCACATATCCTACCCACTCTCTCTCTCTCTCACACACAGTGACCCACACACACACACATTAATATCGGTCAACACAGACATTACACATAGTAAACACACACATTGCACACAACATACGCACACAGTAAACACAACATACACACACAGTAAACACACACATTTTAGTAAGTTAATTAAATTGAACAAATAAATTGGTTAACTTACTAATTTAATATTTTTATAAGAAAATGTGTTTATTTTATTTTTATTTTTTTGAAAAAATTGAAATTTGGATGAATAACCATAAAAATCATATCTAGATGCATTTTTTAGAACAATATGTATATATAGAAGTGCGCTCAAATGAGAATGAATCACAATGAAAGAAATATGAATGAATTTGGATCATTAGATAATTCTTATCAATGGCTAAGATGAAGTTAAAATTTGGTCAATCATTAATGGCATTATGGTAAATGTACATACTTGACAAATGAATAAGGGTAATTTGGTCATTAATATTAATTAACTCAACCACCCACTTGCAGTGGGACCCACGACACCATTTATTAGTCATTAATTTCATCTCATTAAACACTCTTTCACACACACAACTTCAGCCCCTCCTCCGTCGGATCCACACAGCCTCGCCGCCCACCTCCACCAGCTCCGCCGCAGACCACAACCTTCATCCTCCACCGTCGTCATCCATCCACCTCGGCATGTCCCTCCCGCACATCCAACGACCACCGGAGAAAAGCAGACTCACAAAATACTCATGCCGACCCCGCCGCTCACCTCCACCAGCCCCGCCGCGGTCCACAAAATTCCTCCTCAACTGCCGTCATACATCCACTCCGACCCTTCCTCTTGCGCACGTTCAGTGGCCACCGGAAAATCACAGATAGTCCAAAAAACTCTCCAATTGACGACCTCCGTCGTCTCGAGCCTTATCTCAATCGCCGCTGATTTCCCTCTCCA